TCAAGGTTCTGCGCTGGAAGGGCAGACCAGAGGAGACAAAGGCGGCCGTGATGGTAGTGAAGGGTTGGCCCAGACTGTAGGCTGTAAGGAAGGTCTCGGGGGAGCAGTTGTGGGCAATGACAGTGGAGAGACGTGAAAGGACATTGTCCGGTGGATGGAGATGTTGCAGACGAGTCAGTCGCAGATACTTCTGCAGAGGCACAATCACTTTGGGGAAGATCATCTGTGCGGCCTGACGCGGCGTCACTAAGTCTGAAGGCAAAACAACGACTTCAATGTTTCGGTTGCTCAAAATGGAAAATAACATCCGACTTTGCAAACTAACAAACAAGGTCTCCAGCAATCCATTAATGCTCTGTTAATTCGGGTGTATTATTGATGGCGAAGAAATGCAACTGTAGAAGTCAAGATAGCACAAATGATAACTATAAAGGAACTTGTTCAAATATGCCAATTTAGTTTACGAAAACAAAAACGCACAGTTTGAAAAACCGTGTGTTGTAGCTAACTGCTAAACTCACAGAAAGCTGAAATGTCTAGTGAACCACTAGTCCTAGGGCTTAAAATAATCCTGACCCCAGCTGGTTGGATGCTGACAACAGTATCACAGTTCATTGTAGTAGGAGCGTGGTAGCATCGATTGGGTCCAAGTAATGGCAGGCGAAGATCAAGTAAGACGAAGCCTCCTCAGGTGGGGGTGACGCTCACCGAAGCAGTCTGATCACTCCGGATCTACCCACTACAGAGATCTCATAGGTGGCTCAAAAACGACAAGTAGTCAATGTTCAGGAAAGATAGGTTTATTTCATTCTCATATATCCGTTGGTGCGACACTCGCAGCACATGGGAACTCTAGGGCGCTTATACTCCCACTTTTTCCCTGTTCCCGCGCGGTCCTGTGCGCACACAACATGGAGCGTAAAAACACTAACCACCGCCCGCAGGATTAGTGGCTAAAGGGAGGCTTCACATCATTATGCCGCCTTCTGAGCTCAATCTCGTCTTCAGTCAGCGAT